TTGACAGTCATGACAGTATATTTTTCACTTTCGTCAGAAGTTTCTCAATCTGAAAACTTCCAACAAAAGACAAACTAAGTTAGCAGAAGGTTAATATGGCATAGTTCTGTTAATTCCCAATCAATAATTTCACACATCTTTGGGAAGTTCTGTTTAAAATGGTGTGAAAACTTCTACTTTATATTGCACGATCCCAGGATAATAAAGATTTATTGCTGTCGACATTTAATGCAGCAACAATGAAGTTAGTTGCCTTTAAAATTAGATTTCTTTGGCATTAATCCTCTTTACAGCTATCCCCTTTTAAAGCTTAAGAGAAAAAGTTATCTCTAACTGTCACAATACATCTAACACCAATGTGGTGGCATCAATATCTTTTAATTGGATTTTGTCATCTCAGTCAAGTGAGTGACACTACCCTGCTGTAAGATGTATGGATTTGTTTCTTTACAAAAATTTAATTCTGTCGTTTGCTGTGTGATCCAGGTTAAGTACAAATGTTCAGATGTATATCCTACATGTGTACTACTCTTGCTTTTCTATCTTTGTTTTATTTGTGTTTATTCTTTAATGCCACTTGAAGACCCAAAACTGGATTTAATAATAATTTGTATTTGTATGTGTTTGTAGGACAGTGTTTCATTCAGATTTCAAAATGTGTGAGGTGCTTCAGCAGTAAAAAGGACAGATAGCTGTGTTTAACGATGTTTGCTACTTTTTAATTTGTGTCACTCTAGTTCTATCCATTTAGTGCCCATAAGAATTTTACCTGATAACCCCTACTTTTCTTTCCATAATTTTATCACATTATAGTTTAAAAAGCCATTTATTGAAAATCTTGTAAAATCCTTGTTATTTTTTCATAGTTTTTGAAAGAAAAAAGGTGCCAATGTTAAGTGTATGAAAAGTCTATCCCACTAAATTTTCAATTGATTATATCTCAAAAACAAGGACATGGACCTGTCATTATTTTCTACTTTTTAAGTTCCGCTATTTATATACTATCAATTTAATTTATAACAGTCTTTTAAAAAGCTTGTTATTTTGAAACTGAGGAGTAAACATCCTGTAGTCAAATGAAAGGTGTACTATTGCCTAGTTATCATTTTCAGTAGTAAATACTTTTCTTTGGCAATCCAGCAATGACAATTTTATTTAAGGAGTCCTGTTAAAAATTTTTTTTAAAAAGGTGTCATATCATTCAATTCAATAAAATATTCATCTCCAGTACTTAAAAGGCATTTTTTTTTAATTGTAAGAGAACAATTGTTTTTAAAGGAAATTAACTGGGGAATAACTCCACAATATTCTTTTAATAAAATGCTTCGCTGGGCGCAGCTTGATACGACCGCAGAGGTCGAACCCTGAACAGTTGGGGCAAGTATGGACACAACATTCAAGCTTGATACAGCTCTGAATTTGGATTGTGATTAAATATTTGACACAGCATAGGTTCTGACACAGAAAGAATGTGGTCTAAGAACTTCAATTTTTTTAATTTACCTATTATGGTCCAATGTCCAAAATCAAAATACATGGTTAGATTCAGCATATCAAAGAACCCCATATATTCAATTTTTGTTGAAATCAAACAAAGTTTAATTTTGGACCCCAACTTGAACAAACTTGAAAACTGGGCCCATAATCAAAAATCTAAACACATGTTTAGATTCAGCATATCAAAGTACCCCAAGAATTCAATTTTTGTTAAAATCAAACTAAGTTTAATTTTGGACCCTTTGGACCTTAATGTAGACCAATTTAAAAAACGGGACCCAAAATTAAAAATCTAAAAACACGGTTAGATTTGGCATATCAAAGAACCCCAATAATTTAATTTTTGATGAAATCAAACAAAGTTTAATTTTGGACCCTTTTGACCTCAATATGAACCAATTTGATAGCGGGCCCACAAAATAAAAAATCTAAATACATGGTAAGATTCAGCATATCAAAGAACCCCATATATTCAATTTTTGTTGAAATCAAACAAAGTTTAATTTTGGACCCCAATTTGGACCAACTTGAAAACTGGGCCAAAAATCTAAAATCTAAATACATGTTTAGATTCAGCATATCAAAGAACCCATATATTCAATTTTTGTTGAAATCAAACCAAGTTTAATTTTGGACCCCAAATTGGACCAACTTGAAAACTGGTCCCATAATAAAAAATCTAAACACATGTTTGGATTCAGCATATCAAAGAACCCCAAAAATTCAATTTTTGTTAAAATCAAACTAAGTTTAATTTTGGACCCTTTGGACCTTAATGTAGACCAATTTAAAAAACGGGACCCAAAATTAAAAATCTAAAAACACGGTTAGATTTGGCATAATAAAGAACCCCAATAATTAAATTTTTGATGAAATCAAACAAAGTTTAATTTTGGACCCTTTTGACCTCAATATGAACCAATTTGATAGCGGGCCCAAAAATAAAAAATCTAAATACATGGTAAGATTCAGCATATCAAAGAACCCCATATATTCAATTTTTGTTGAAATCAAACAAAGTTTAATTTTGGACCCCAATTTGGACCAACTTGAAAACTGGGCAAAAAATCTAAAATCTAAATACATGTTTAGATTCAGCATATCAAAGAACCCCATATATTAAATTTTTGTTGAAATCAAACAAAGTTTAATTTTGGACCCCAACTTGGACCAACTTGAAAACTGGGCCCATAATCAAAAATCTAAACACATGTTTAGATTCAGCATATCAAAGAACCCCAAGAATTCAATTTTTGTTAAAATCAAACTAAGTTTAATTTTGGACCCTTTGGACCTTAATGTAGACCAATTTAAAAACGGGAGCCAAAATTAAAAATCTAAATACACGGTTAGATTTGGCATATCAAAGAACCCCAATAATTCAATTTTTGATGAAATCAAACAAAGTTTAATTTTGGACCCTTTTGACCTCAATATGAACCAATTTGATAGCGGGTCCACAAATAAAAAATCTAAATACATGGTTAGATTCAGCATATCAAAGAACCCCAAGAATTCAATTTTTGATGAAATCAAACAAAGTTTAATTTTGGACCCTTTTGACCTCAATGTGGACAAAGTTGATAACGGGGCCCAAAAATCAAAAATCTAAATACATGGTTAGATTCAGCATATCAAAGAACCCCATATATTCAATTTTTGTTGAAATCAAACAAAGTTTAGTTTTGGACCCCGATTTGGACCAACTTGAAAACTGGGCCCATAATCAAAAATCTAAATACATGTTTAGATTCAGCATATCAAAGTACCCTAAAAATTCAATTTTTGTTAAAATCAAACTAAGTTTAATTTTGGACCCTTTTGACCTTAATGTAGACCAATTTGAAAACGGAACCAAAAATTAAGAATCTAAATACACGGTTAGATTCGGCATATCAAAGAACCCCAATAATTCAATTTTTGATGAAATCAAACAAAGTTAAATTTTGGACCCTTTGGACCTCAATGTGGACCAATTTAAAAACGGGGCCCAAAATCCAAAAACTTAATACACGGTTAGATTCAGCATATTAAAGAACCCCAAGAATTCAAGAATAAAACCCCATTGAAATTGATCAAGAAATAAGCAATTTATACGAAGTATCTTCTTTTGCACAATACTGTGCAATTGAATATTTCTTGCTATTGTGCAATACTGTACAATTGACAATTTCTTGCTATTGCGCAATATTGTGCTATTGGATATTTCTTGCTATTGCGCAATACTGTGCAATTGAAGATTTCTTGCTATTGCGCAATACTGTGCAATTGAAGATTTCTTGCAATTGTGCAATACTGTGCAATTGAAAATTTCTTGCTATTGCACAATACTTATTATATAATAATTTACACATCCTGTTTGGTGTGTATCTCCTACCATATCATTATTATTTGCTTTTAAATATAAATCAGAAATAACCAACTTAAAATGGAAAATTTTAAAAGAAAAAAAAAAGGAAAAAAAGAAAAAAAAAGAAAAAAAAAAAATTCCCCCCCCAAATTTTTTGAACCCCCTTATGATTCATCAACCCCAAACTCAATCCCAGCCTTCCCTTTGTGGTATGGTACCTTGCAGTACAATTTCAGAGAGATCCATACACTTGAACACAAGTTATTGTCTGGAAACTAGAAAAATGCTTATTTTTGGCCCCTTTTTGGCCCCCAATTCCTAAACGTTTCGGGCAATTACCCCCAAACTCAATTCCAGCTTTCCCTTTGTGATATGGAACCTTGTAGTACAATTTCAGAAATATCCAAACACTTACACACAAGTTATTGTCATGAAACTAGAAATATGCTTGTTTTTTGCCCCTTTTTTGGCCCCTAATTCCTAAAATTTTGAGGCAATTACCCCCAAAATCAATTACAGCCTTCCCTTTGTGATATGGAACCTTGTGGTACAATGTCAGAGAGATCCAGACACTTACACACAAGTTATTGTCTGGAAGTTACAAAAATGCTTATTTTTGGCCCCTTTTTGGCCCCCAATTCCTTAACTGTTGGTACCATAACCCCCAAAATCAATCCCCACCTTCCTTTCGTGGTATTGAACCTTATGGTAAAATTTCATGGAGATCCATTCACTTAAACTAAAGTTAGAGTGCGAAAACCAATGTGTCTTCGGACGACGCCGGACGACGACGACGACGACGACGACGACAACGACGACGACGACGACGACGCCAACGTCATACCAATATACGACCAAAAAATTTTCAATTTTTGCGGTCGTATAAAAACATAATTTTTCGCCACCTTTTTCTAATTTACATTTTTGTGATGCATTATTAATTGTGAAGAACTGTATATATATTCTTACATGATTTATAAAACACAAGGTTCAATAGACAAATCGCCTGGCCAAAATGCCATTATTCATCCATTCATTCTATATATGAGGTCAAGAATCAAGTAAATATTTCACTTCTATTATGCAATCATCATTGAATTATCTATCCCATACAATCAACCTATGATGGCAACACAGGGTAACCAATACTTACAGGACAAAAGTCAATGGTTTCTACGATGGAATTCAGCTGCTCGGAAAAAACATCATGACTGAATATAAGTAACGTCTTCTCAATTCCTTTGACTTTCCTTAAAGAGTCTAGTAAAATTTTTAAATAGTTTGCTCTATCATGTACTTGTACAACTATTACAACACTTTCTGGTCCTAAGCTCAGGCCATATTTTTGAAGATTGTGAACGTATTGTTCAGCATTTCGACGGTCAATTTCTAATTTTATTTGAGTTAAGTTGTGCTCAGGTATATTGTGTCGTGAAACAAACGTTTGATTGTACTGATTTGGTAGTATTAATACTTCTACTTTTGAACTGTTCTCAGGACCATCTGAATCCTGCAGCTGAGATCGGTCTGTTTGGACATGAGCTTTTAAATTGTTACTATGACGCAACTTATACAATAAAGTTCGATCATACGCATCGGAATTGTGAGGTTCAAAGTTCATCAACACATGAAGATTTAGAAACACAAACAATATTAAAACTATCATAAACAGAGATCTTATAAGTCGCACAGGACGAAATCTCATGTCTAAAGGTGATGTTAATGTTGGCATTACGTCAAGATTTGATATGTGTATATGCAAAATATCACAGCGACCTCTATACTGATGTCTTTATCTCCAAACTGATATCTCCACACATATATCTCCAAACAGATATCTCCACACAGATATCTCTATATCACAGATTTATTTAATATTTCAACATCCCCTGATGCTAAGGAAAATTATCACAGTTAATTTTCTGGGACTGTCTTTGATACATCACGTCATCGTAATGTCTTAAAAGTTAACGATTAAAACTATCATCTTATCTGCAAGTGATATTTATCCCACATGATACTAAAGCTGCTGCCATCTCTTTTTTAACTTTCATTGCCAACAATTATCTATAATAGAACAAAATCAATTATTTACACTTAAATATACATATATATATATACATGGTATATATATCAATTCAACACTTTATAAAATGGTTTATATATCATTCACTAAGAATATGATATACCATGGCCAGAAAGTATTAATGTCTATAAACCATTAGGAATATCAATTGTTCATTAATAATTTATCTCACATATATACACATGAAAGTATAAGTATTTATTAGGTACAAAACTGTAACATACATGTACTGTATAAAACATATGTTTTTAATATTCTGTAATTAACAAACTGTAAAAGACAACATTGCAACAGCCAACTTGAACTGAATAATAGATATATGTAATTAAAGATTTATATATTTAGTTAAAAGATTTAACCTTATGTTTTTACTATATGCTGAATTCAAATGAAGATTTCTATGTCTTAAGATATTGCCCTTGGACATGGTGTATTAGGGTCTTAAGGTGCATTATCTTTGTCAGAAAAAAAATTATTACAAACATGCACCGAGTCAAGACCACTTGTATTTAACTTAGGCCTAAAAAGTAAAATTACATTTAATTTACATAAGTGGCTTTGTGGATTTGCAAAATTAGCCAAGTCTTTCTAAACAATAAAATTGTTTATATACATGTACTGTATACTGTGTACATCATGTATAGTGGACAAACAGATAGCTAGAAATGTCAGGATTTATTGCAACCCAATGAATGAGTGATAGATTTCTCTTAGAAGAAATTTAAAGGTCCTAGAGAATAATATACACAGAGAACAATAGCTATTGTATTTATTCAATAGGACAGGTGAACTTACAAAAGTTTAAATACCTTGACCAGATAGAGATGGCACTGTGGAAAACTTTCATTGGGTTTGCAATAAATGATCATGAGGCACAATTGGTTTGCATGTGGAATCACATATTTGGACTTGCAGGATTTTTAGCAGATGAAGATTTAAGCAAATAAAACCATAGAATTTTCATGAGGATCTTTTAATTTGCAGATGATGATTTAAGCACATAATTTTCAGTTGCTCATTCAAATTTAACCTATAGTTTGCAGTTAGGAATTTGATTGTCTTACTACACAGAAATGTATATTATTATGATTTCATCAAAGATTATGAGGAAATTGTGTGAATTATTGTATTATTATGACTGTGTAAACAAACACAGGATTTTTTTGTTTGATTCTAACTTACTCATATAGGGGAAATAATTCAGATTATTTAATTCTTTAAAGGAATGTATAGGAAATTTACCTATATTGTTTTGTAGCAAGAAAACAAGTACAATGACCCCAATTTTTCATGAAATTTTCTGAAAGAACATCATTATATATATATACATGTAAGAACAGCATCTTCTCATATCTAAATTTTCAAATACTATCATTAACTTTTCTTTCTATTAACACAAAAGTGGCTTTTCCAAATATAATTCTTCCACAATCTTCCAATTTTGCAGAACCTGTTGCTTAAAAAAGCTCTTTGACCCATACTTTTTAATATATTTTTTAAAATAGAATATGACATTAGCAATTATTGAAAAATTTTATCGATTTTAATTTAAACCCCTCACCTACATCACAGCTAAATTAATTTCTGAATATTTTTGAATCATGCAATAGTTGTTGCCTGAAAGTTTGTTAATAGCAGATATAATCAAAATAATCAGAAAAACTGGGTAGAAGCAGGTTCTACTCACAAGGGTGCTTAACAACCTCGACTACCAATGATGGTTCACAAGATAGGAAAAAGTGGTTGTTGTTGGTTTTTTCAGTGACAGCCATAGTCTATGAAAATTTTATACAATAGTATACATTTATTTCCCATGCCTGAGGGAGATATGAAGATTTGTTCACCCAAGAATATTCATATTTCATGAGGGCTCTGCCTGAGGGAAATATGATTTTTCGAGGGTGAGCAAATCTTCATATCTCCCGAAGCAAAGGGAAATGAATGTTTTATTTCACTGCCTATGTTTTGTTTACTATCAATACATTAATTATTATTTTGCATATTTTTTTTTTCTTATCCGCTTGTTTTTATAAGTTAAACTTAACATGACATACACATTGATAAACAGTACGGATCAAAAGTTCATTATTAGTCTTTTTGTTTTATCATCTGAAATAAATTTGAACATGATAATGATTTTTGCTATCACTATCTTAAGGATGTATTCTTCTGACGTTTCAGTCTCGTTGAAATCTCGTTCTGGAATTATTTCCAAAACATGTGATACAAGCGGAAAATATCAATAAAATTTTAAAATGTTATAATTAAACTTAACTCTGTGAAAACATTGTGTATTTACAATGAGTAGTTTTTGAGTAATCAATTTTTCAAATTTTACAACCAATCAAGTCAGTCTTTTTAGCCAAAATTTTGAGAAAATGAGTGAGGGGTACAAAAAATGATTTTACCAGAATCATGTACATTCCATATCATTGTTTTCTTTTCAAATTTCTTAGATATGTATTTTTTCAATCATTTATAACAAAAAAGTTGAAATAATATGCATTTTGTTCTTAAAATTGAGAAAAATCACAAATTTACAAAATTGACAGCATGGTAAATTTGACACAAAAAAGCATCAAAATATGATAAAACTTTCTTATATTAACACTTACCTATAGTTTTTTCAGTTAAATTTATTCAGATTGGTCCACTTCATCTTTATTGAAAGTATGAAAAAAAGTTAAATTGTGGAACTGTGAATTTTTTCACGATAACAGCCCAAAAATAGGTAAAAATTGATGAAAAATGGAAAAATCATCAAAAATTGGGTACTTTCAAACGGCCGTAGCAAAAAAAGAAGTGCACCACCATAAGATTTTTTCTTCACCAATTATTTTTTTACAGTCATATAGACCCAAAAATCAGGTTAAGAAAAAAAGTTTAAATCTAGAAATTTTTGGCTCCTCAGAGGTGTACATCTTTAAGAAGAATAAGAAGTCCAAAATGTTATGTAGTACATTAACCGGTGTAACGTCGCACGACGTTATCCCGACATTTCAGAGGGGAATATGATTGTCAGAAGGGAATATGAAGATTTGTTCAATGACACGTGGGATAGTCTCATCCAATCAAATATTGATTAAACTATCAATATGTATAAACAGTGGAATAACATCAGTTGATTTGAATAAGTAAAAAATATCAATTCTTGGTAGGGAAATGCAGACCTCCCTGAAAGTTTGTTTACATTTTGTACTCTTACTTGATTACAAATGCAGGACTATATTACATAGCATTAGGATGGTTATCAAGTCATCTTACAGTCATTATTATACATCTACTAAACGCTTTATCAGGTATTTGATATGACTGCATAATATATGAAACTTTTAATAACTTTAACACAAAGTATGACCTCCCATGTTAGGTTTGTGGTATGTGGTTTCATTTTGAAACATTCATTAAAACAAAACCACCACAAATAATTACTGTCACAATTTTTTAAGCACAAGATCAAAATGTATAAATCTGTTATTAAACATGATGGTCATGCATGTACTTGTATTCTCAGTTGCATCTCAAATTCAGGTATATTTTTGTTCATTTTCTGTAAGATCTGAATTAATTCATAACACCAAGTGGTCTAATTTTGATTTTTCAATTTGTAGAACCTACTCAAATATATTTTTGTAAAGTTTGCCCCCTTGACCTGGCACTTGGCTCCATTATTGTTAGATAAATTTTAAAAACAATATGACATACCCATATTACAACACTTTATACTTTCTCTATTTCCATTATATATATATATATATATCTTAATCCTGACAATTTGAGCAGTAACCTCCAGCACTGAAAAATCACCTGTTCTAACAGAGACTAACACCCACTACTGTAAACAATGTCATTTATTCCTTAAAGAACAATTGTCATTATGTATTTTATTAGGTGTCAATCAGAATAAGCTAGTAATTCACAGGTAACGGGACATTACAATGTAATCTTTTGTCATTTTACTACAGATTTATAATGTAGGTCTATTAAATTCTCATAACTTTCACCTGATCAATTCTTCTTGTCTATTTATATCTGAAAGTAACATACAGATGTATGTACATTAATTATTATTTCAAATTAATTCTTTCAGTCCATCATTTCACCAGATGTAACATTTGTTACTAAATAGTTACCAAACTAATTATTTGGAAGTCATTTATAACTTTATCTTTAATATGTTTGTCAAAATTTACAATTAAAACAATTTCTGTTAGGTTGCTTTCTCATTGGCATAAATACTGTAAATACAGAAATTATTGAGAGGTTTTTATTAATGTTAATCATGCGCCTGGCTTGGTATCGCAATAAGAAATCACATTCTGATATCTCGTAACATTTATCTTTTTGCAGATTTTCCTTGAATTGCAATAATTAATCTCACTTTTTTGTCAATTCTTCAAAAATTGCAATAATAGACATGTTTAGATCTAGACTGCATATGTATTCTAATCATGAAATTTAATTAAGTATAATAAAATGCTCCGCTGAGCGCAGCTTGATACGACCACAGTGGTCGAACCCTGAACAGTTGGGGCAAGTATGGACACAACATTCAAGCGTGATACAGCTCTGAATTTGGATTGTGATTAAATATTTGACACAGCATAGGTTTCTGACACAGAATGAATGTGGTCTAAGAACTTAAAAAATTTTAATTTACCTATTCAAACCATATCATTATTATTTGCTTTTATATATAAATCAGAAATAACCAATTTAAAATGGAAAAATTTAAAGAAAAAAAAAAGGAAAAAAAGGGAAAAAAAATCACCCCCCCAAATTTTTGAACCCCCTTATGATTCATCCCCCAAACTCAATAACAGCCTTCCCTTTGTGGTATGGTACCTTGCAGTACAATTTCAGAGAGATCCATACACTTGAACACAGGTTATTGTCTGGAAACTAGAAAAATGCTTGTTTTTTGGCCCCTTTTTGGCCCCAAATTCCTAAACGTTTATAGGCAATTACCCCCATACTCAAA